AAGACACATGGAACTATGCTAGCTGAGGAGCCACATGGAGACCCCTGCCAGTGCTGAGATGCTTATACTGCCACTGGATCCACAAGACATTCCACCACCTGGCCTGAGATCTTCCTGCATTTGGCATCAGAGGAATTTATAGATTTGTATCGGGCATATGGGCTAATTATCGGACTTATGAACTTGATCTAGACTGGGCTGGGCTGTTTTCTCAATATTCAATTGCTCTTGTATATATAACTCTTTCTTATACACGAGTGTCTATGAATTTTGTTTCTTGGTCTACCCAGACTAACACAAAACTAATAATTCTGCCTATAAGTGGAATATATATATATAACAAAGTGTGGTAAAAAAAATTCTTTTAAAGATAATACCTAACTATGAGAAAGAGTATCATCTAGAGTTTTAAAGGCTTGTTTTAAAACAAGCAGCTAGGTGACGTGTCAGCTAAGTCCACTCAGAAGGATAATACCAGCCTGTGTGATCCAAGAGTGTAAATAATAAAATCCATGATCAGACAAGGGAATTGTATTAGAGTTTTAACTTCTGAGCACCCAGTTTGCAAACAGCTTTGGAGAACAGCGAAAGACCAAAATCCATTTGCAAAGCCCCCTTGTGGATTAAGCCTCCACTGAATTTCCTCAGCCCATTGACTAGGGATGTGAAAGTCTTACCCTCAGACAGAGTGGACTGGAAAGTAGATTACTGAAGTAATAATTACGTTAAAATTTAACTTCTTACCATTTGTTTGCCTTATTGACCAATTGTAAAGTTGTTCTATTTTTATTATTTTCTGTTTTCTTTTGAATTGAGGATTTTGTTTTATTTTGTAGCTTTTATTGGGGTTAGGGGAGGGAGTATGATTTTCTTTATATGAAATGTTTATAGGTAAATCCATAGAGACAGTAAATAGATTAACTTGCTTAGAGTTATAGTAGGGTAGTTTGGGGGAAATGGGGAGTTAAGAATGGATATAAACATGAAGAAAGGTGTTCTAAAACTGGCTATAATAATGATTGTACAATTATTAATATATTTAAACCATTGAACTGTGTGATACATAAATTTTATGTCAATAAAACTGTAAAAAAAATAAGAAGAAAAAGATGGAAGGAACACACAGTCACTGTACTAAAAGTAATTTGTCAATTTTCAACCATTTCAAACAGTAGCATGTGATCAAGAGCCAGAAGTTTTGAAGGAAGAAGTACTAGCTGCACTGAAAGCATTAGTAGAAAAACAAGTTTTCATGAATTGATGGAATACCAACTGAAATGTTTCAACCAACGGAAGCACCGCTGGAAGCACTTACTAGGCCATGTCAATAAATCTGGAAGAGAGTTGCCTGACCAACTGATTGGAAGAGATCCATATGTGTGCTCACTCCAAAGAAAGATGGCCCAAAAGAAGGCAGAATTTATCTAACAATATCATTAGTATCACTTGCAAATAAAATTTTGATAAAGATAATTCAAAAATGGTTACAGCAGTACATCGACAGGGAGCTGCCAGAAATTCAAGCTGGACATCCGTTCTTGTACAGCAAAAGATAGCATTACTGACATCAGATGAATTTTGGCAGAAAGCAGAGTACTAAAAAGATGTTGACTTGTGTTCTATTGACTATGCGCGATCATTGATTATGTGGAAAATAACAAACTATGGATAACATTAAAAAGAAAGAGAATCCTAAAACACCTAATAGTCCTCATATAGAGGCAGAACACACACCAAGAGGCAGTCTTCAAACAGAACAAAGGATGCTGTATATTTTCAAACTGAGACCAGGAGGAGCGGAAGTGGAGACGTGGGTCAGGGGCAGATGCTGACTTTACCCCACCCTCAGATACATTTCTCAGAATCCCTTGATACCCTTGTTGGAATGAAGTCGAGAATCTTGCCAGAAGGTGAGAACTCTTAAAGCCAAGGCAGGCATGTACAAGCAAGCTAGTTTGCATTTCAGCTGTACCAGTTATATAGCGACTCCCTCCTAGGAGCTTCTGATGAAAGTGCTCCAGCATTGCTCCTATGTGGATCAGAGCAAATATTGCTCTTGGTAAAGGCTAGACCCTAATTCCCATAACGTACATCAGGACAAGTGTGTGTCAGGTTTGTATCCTTTCATCATATTTATTAAATCTTTATGCTGAGAAATAATATTAGATTATTAACTATATTAAGAAGAACAGCATCAGAAGTGGGCTCAATAACAACCTGCAATATGCAGATAATATAACCTTGCTTGATGAAAGTCAGAATGACTTGAAGCACTTACTGATGAAGACAAAAGACTACAGTCTTCAGTACTGATCACAACTCAAGGTAAAGAAAATTAATTTTCAAACTAGACCAATAGATAATAATCATGATAAATAGAGAAAAAAATTGAAGTTATCTAGGATTTTATTTTCCTTGGATCCACAATCCACCCGCATGGAAGCAGTGGCTAAGGAATCAAAGGGCACACTGCATTAGACAAATATGCTACAAAAGGTCTCTTCAATATTAAGGCAAGTTTGTCACTTTCAGGACAGAGGTGAGCCTGTACCAAGCCATGATAATGTTAGCCATTTCATATGCTTGTGAGTGTTGGATAATCAATAAGTAAGACCACAGAATTGATGTATCTAAATTATGATGTTGGTGAGAATAATAAAAACCATGGTCTTCCAGAATGTGGTAGTTACATAATTTCATTTCAACTTGATAAATAAGTGTAGGGGTGGAGTCTAGCCTGTCAGTCAGTTCACAGCCTGATTATGTTGCCTTGTGGGCATGGCCTTCTCTTGAGGATTCTGGGAACTTCCTCTCTCTTGCTCTGCCTTCATCTTCCTGTTAACAAGCCACAGGGAGACTTGCAAGAGCACTGTCTATGTGCTTTGCCTTCCTGTTGAAGAGCCACACTCAGAGCTGGAGCAGTCATATGGAGACCTGCACCAGCCCTGAGATGCTTCCACCACCATGGTATCTACAAGACTTGGCACCCACCGATCTGTGATCTTCCTGCATTTTCCATCATTGCATGTGATTGTGTGAGTCTGAAGAAAGATTTGGGGGCTAGTATTGAGCTTATGGGCTAATATCAGACTTAAGGATTTGATCTGGACTGCGCTGAGATGTTTTCTTAATATACAATTATTCTTTGACATAAAGCTCTTTCTTATACAGATATGAGTGATTCTGGATTTGTTTCTCTAGTCAACACAGTCTAACACAAAAAACAAACCTTTCCTGGAGGAAGTACAGTCACAATATTCCTTAGAAGTGAGGATGCCAAGACTCAGTCTTACATTCTTTGGACATGGTATCAGGAGGAACCAGTCTTTAATGCAGTGGTTCTCAACCTGTGGGTCGCAACCCCTTTGGGGGTCGAACAACCCTTTCACAGGGGTTGCCCAATTCATAACAGTAGCAAAATTACAGTTATTAAGTAGCAACAAAAATAATTTTATGGTTGGGGTCACCACAACATGAGGAACTGTATTAATGGGTCGCCACATTAGGAAGGTTGGGAACCACTGCTCTAGAGAAAGGGCATCATGCTTGGAAAAGTGAAGAAGAAAATAAGATTGGAATTGTATACTTGGCAGATAGTTTAATCTTTTAAATTAATATATCTAAAATATACCCACCCAAACATGTAGTATTATGTATATAAATGGTGTTACACATTGTTCTGTCCTCTCTGTTCTGTGGTAATAACTGAAAATGTTCTAGTGTGTATCTGTTTATATTTTTCTGTATAATTCTAAAATCACACAGAGATGTTTAAATTTTGTTTGTATGAACCTAATTGGCATAGAAAACATATAACACTCTTTTTTTGTTTTTTTTATTTTTCCATTCAACAACAGCTCATTAAATCTATTCAAGTCATCTGATAAACTAGAATACATATTTTTATGTATTATATTCCATAGATTATTCAAACAATTCCTTACAGATATGCATCATTTCATCTCCAGCTTTTTGCTACTAAAAACAATACTGTGATAAACACCCTTAGATAATTTTTTTTCAATAGGATAAATTCCCTAAAGTGGGACTGGGGTGTCCAATTATAGTTATTTTATCTTTATAAATGTTGCCAGATTGCTTTCAAAAAGGTGTCATAATTCTTATTTCTACAAACAATTTGAGAATACTCTTTTCTTACATTCTATCAGCAATATATGTATTTTATCTTTATAAATGTTGCCAGATTGCTTTCAAAAAGGTGTCATAATTCTTATTTCTATGAACAATTTGAAAATACTCTTTTCTTACATTCTATCAATATAGAATGTTATTTTTGCCTATTTGCTACTTTATTGTTACCTTAAATTACATTTTATAACTGCTCATGAATTGGATCTCTTTACATGTTTCATAGCCTTCTAAATAACTTTCCTGTGATTTATCTATTCATTCTCTTAGCTATTTTTGCCCGTTTTTTCAGCAACTATTAAAAATTCTTTGCATATTATAAGTAGTAGTGTTTCATCTATTATCTATGTTACAAATATTTGGATTGATTTGTTAATAACATCTGTTGAAAAATTTTCCAGGCTTTTTGCTTTCTTTTGTTTTGATTTTGTGGTTAAATGTACTTAAGATATATGTGTGCATAATATATATAAAAACCTGTGAGATTTCAATAACCAAAGGGGCTTATGAATAATTAAAGTGATCAAGAAGTTAAATTATTGCCCTATATAAAGTCTTCAGGAAGAAACAACAAAAAAACAATGTGAAAAAAACAGGGGTGGAGCAGTTATTATTTAAAATAAAGTCATTTCATGTTTATTTCTCACCATTAATTGAGATTTTCAATGACCTGGTTGCATCTAACTTATTTAAGTAAAGAAAGCATTATTATTCTAAGTATCATTTTTAAACAGAGAAACTGAAGTAGGTTAAACCTCCTTGTGTAATACAGTTGAGATTTGAGATGTTTCTTGAAATATAATTACACTGTCAATACAAGTTGTGGTAGCATTTCTGAGCAGGCTGCTTACCTTTCAATGGCTAATTCTTTGTTAGAAAGCTGCTGCACTGTAATCACAACCTTCTTCTCTACTCCTTGTTTCAACTTGAAATAAAATTTCTCTCTATCCTTCGGCACAGGACTGAAATGTGAAGGGAAAAAAGACCCAGGTGTTACCAACACAGTACTTTATAAAAGGTTGCCATCTATTCTGGTCTTGAACTGAACAAACTATTTAGGTAACAACTTCCTTATTCTTAAGATATACTTAACTCTTATCTTCCTACTGTGTAACAAGTTACAAATCAAATTAAATTTTCCATTGATTTATATGTTATGTTTAAGGAAATTAAAACCAGAAGGGAAAAATGACATTATATAATGTCAGAATTTCTTTTTTTTTTTACAATAATGAACTTGGTAATATAGTATATTTAATTTTTTATGACTGTCACATTTATAACTTAGCTTTTTGAGTGGCCATACATACATTCAACACAGGGATAGGCAGCACAAAATCAAGTGAAAAAAGAGTTTACAATGTCTATGAAATATCCAAGAAAATAAAAGTAAACGAAGAACAAAGAGACATAAATCAGGGACAAGTTAGTAAACTTTCAGGCTAGGTCAGGCTATCTATTACAAATTCATTAAACAATGAATGATTAAATACGAGTTGTCTGAGAAAATACAATGACCAAGTTACTTGACCTGAAATTCAATTTCTATATTTTTAAAGTATATGTAATAAAAGGCCAACCTAGTAACTACTATTAAAATTAAAAGCATAGTTACGACATATAGGTGATTATTAAATAACAATTATTTCCTGCTGTCTCTGAACTGGAGAAAAATATTCCTAAATTTAAAAAGATGGAACTGGTTAATGGAACTATGGTCAAAGCATACAATAGACTAACAAAAAACAAAACACCAAACGTGTCACCATGTGGCTATGAGTTCTAGGCTAGAACTGAAATCTGTAGGCTTCCATCTTTATGAAAGCAGACCACCAGGGCTTTCTTCCACAGCATCACTACACGGGTTTGAACCAACAACCTTTAGGTTAGCAGTCAAACGAAAACCATTTGTGCGCCACCCTACCCACCACCGAAAGCCTAATATGCTACTTAAAAACAAAAGTTCAGTGCCATCAAGTCAATTCTGACTCACAGCGACCCTATATGCTTCTAGAAACCCTTAAAAAATGATTTTGCTTAAGAACATTGTAATGAAAAGTTTTTTATAATGTTAAGAAAAAAATTGTATACATCTACAATTGTGTGAAAATATCCCTAGAAAATTTAATTTAGAAATGATAGTATTTTAATTTTAATTTTGTTTTAAGAAACATCAGCATTTTTAGCTTCATTAAGAAAATCATTTAATACCAAGGGCTCAAGCAGAAAGCAAATGTTTTGAGAATGATGAGGGTAACAAATGTACAAATGTGCTTGACACAATGGATGGATGTATGGATTGTGATAAAAGTTGTAAGAGCCCCCAATAAAATGATTTTTTTAAAGAAATCATTTAAATAAATATCTGAAAGGCATGAGAAAGAAACGATTCATTCAGCAACCAGGAATTCATTTATCAGTTAAACATTACATTGTTTCTAAAACTTTATACCAGGCAATATTATAATTCAGGTATATTGCTAAATTGTTATGCTTTCCAAAATATCCTCACCTAAAGTTTCCTTTTCCATCATCTTCTTTTACCTCCAAGGAGACACTGAAGGTAAACACATCATTGTCAGGGGTAGGAATCACCGACTCTTTAACATCAGACACTTGTCTAGAAGAACGTTTGAATGCTGTACAGAAGCTATATAAAATTCTGCTTACCTAGAAGAATAAATATGGAAATAACATCAAGCAAAGGTTTCAACTGTGTCCCAATACCCTTTCCTTGAATTCTTGAATCCCAAGCTTTCTATACTCATAATTTTCTTAAGCAGATACACAAATACAGTCTAAGCATCTATCAGTTGTTTAGTTATTGTGTTTCTCATCCTTATGCATTAGAGATGGGTGGAAAAACATATGATAAAATATACTCCTAATAGATTCCTAACTCCAAATTATTACATGCTAAAAGTCATCATCAGCGTGAGTCTACGAGGAAATGCTACTAAATATATCCCCTAAATGGGAATTTCAGCAAAAATTTGTAATGAAATTTATAGCATGACATCAATTCATTTTACAAAAACTTTGAAGTTCAAAGGTAAAGTCTGCTTCCAAACTTAAAGAGATAAATTTCACCAGCACCACCAAGTGTAACACCATAATGTATATAAATAACAGAGACAAGAGAACTAAGATTCAGGAGCTGCACCTGAGGATGTGGGTGGGAATCTTGAAATGGAAGGAAGGCAGGTGGATGAAACCCACCCAGAAGTGGCAGTAAGTTGCTGTCTCTAGCAGTGATTCAGAACCTCGCCCATTATAAAAACACACCAGAGAACTGAACAGAAGTCAGGACAACAGGGGCTCACTTCATTATCAAAATTTTTCTTTGGGAATGTCTCAGATGATAATTAATGAAAACTAAGATTCTCAGCAAGGAAACAGCCTTTGTATCTAGTTATGCTTGGATTTTGTTTAGAACATGTATATTATTTGTCAAGAAAAAATGTATCCTATTCTATGAACAACATATTTGTTTTTATGGTAATATTGTCCCTGAACAAAGATAGCCAGTCTGTTTTATGCCAAATGAAAACCATTAGTTATTACTTTCATTAGATATTATTTACTGTTAACACTAATATGATTCCTTACATTTTTTTAAATTTACACACTCCATTTGCATGCCTGATCTTATTTTAATCTTCTAGTAATCTTATATGGTAGGCCTAGCAAGTATTTGCAGTACTTTTTACAAAGGTGTAAAATTCACTGTCAGAGTCCATGTTGACTCATAGTAGGCCTGTAGGACAGGGTAGAACTGCCCCTGGGAGTTTCTGAGACTAACTCTTTACAGGAGTAGAAAGCATGTGTTCCTCCCAAGGAGGAGTGGTTTAGAATTGCTATCCTTGCAATCAGCAGCCCAATGCACCACCACTACACCACCAGGGCTACTCACATAGATGTGTAAAGGGTGACTCAAAATGTTCCAAACATCATATCAAGTGGCTAAGGTAGCACTAGAATTCCTAATGAAAGCCTTCTCTAGGAGACTGTCTCTGAACATCATTTTGACTAGATTCTATCAATGACATATTGTCACAGAGTAATAAAGAATTAAGCTTCATGATTCTTTATGTATATGAGCCTGACAGAATTACATCAATAGACCCAAATGTCTTCATATTAAGGAATCATAGCTTCACTGAGTTTTCCTTTTATTTGAAAAAAAATTACCCTTGCCTTTTGCTTCTTTAATATGTAGCATTTAAATGAAGCAATAAAGATGTTGAACTAATTCAATCACAAAAGATGCTATTACTAATTAATGATATTTATAGCCTTTGACATATGAGATATTTGCAATGAATGAATCCTAAGAAAATATAGTGATGCTGGCAAACATGCAAACCAGGTTTTAGCCCAGGTCTACAATTTCTCTTTTAACTCTCACCACTTTAACAAAACTACATACTGAGCTGTAGAACACAATACTAGTTTTAGCAATAAACAAACATGATAATGTGCTTTAAACAGCTTCCAGTGCTGTTGCTCAATGTTGTTCTGTAATGTTGCAGGATTTCCAGAATGAATGATGACAGGGTTTTATCTACTCTAGTAGCAGAGGCCACCCTAGTGACAATACTTTAAGTATATATAACTGGATCATATATGTCCCCAAAAGTAGGCTAAGGACTCTAGGTCCTACACTCTCCTGGGATGTGCTCTCTTCCGGAGTTGTATAAGACATATCACAGTATCGCAAGCTTGTCAAATTGAAGAAAAGGAAAATAAAAAGGTTTTCCAGATCTCTCAACCTACCAATAGGTTGAATAATGAAAACAAGATTAAATGAGAGGGAGGGTTAAACAGAGGTCATATTTTTAGTACATCACAATGATGGTTACAAATAAGGAGACTGTGCTTCATGTTTAGATAAATAAAAACCTATTCATAGAATTATTAGTAAAACTAAAATATTTCGTAATTTTCTAGAAACAAGAAGAGCACTCTCAACAGTAGAATTTATTAAAGTATAAACTTTTTTAATTTTTCCTATAATATATTCTGCCATAAACTTTTTCTCATAAACATACACATTCAAAAGCAAGTGATCCAATAGTCATTTAAATACATGAGTCAGTGATTGTCCTAAACTGTCTGTCCAATACAAATGAACACTATCTTAATTTAACTTATCAGCATTTTTAACAGTTGGATAAAAATGTTGCCTGATTGCCTACACTTCAACTTTAGTAGTAACACCGTATTTGTTTCACAAAGTTCATGAAATGTTTAAAAATATTTTATTGCATTATTTATTCTATTACCTTATATAAATGAGTCAAGACAACAGAAGTTTGCTATTAATCAGTACCGTAAGCCTCAAATATACAACTAAGACACTAGCTAATTCACTCAAAAATATTTTAATGCACCGTCTGTATACAAAGTATTATTCTAGGTACTAGAGATAACAGTAGTAAACATGAAGTCTGCACTCTAACATATGTAAATTAAATGTGCTTACGTAGGGATCATTAGATAGACTAAAAGGAGAAACCTACTACTGTCAAGTCAATTCCAATGCAAAGTGATACAGTAGAATGCCCACAGGGTTTCCTAGACTATAGTCTGCCACATCTTTCTCTCTGGGTTGACCGATGCATTCAAACCACCAACTTTCAGTTATCAGACCAGTGCTTAAGTACTGCGCTACCACAGAGCTCCTTGAAATGGTCCTAGAGACTTTAACTTGCTTTTGGTTCTTTGGATATTTCTTACTCCATGCCTCTAAATAAAAAATGAATATTGAAAGAAAAAAAAAGCACTGTTAGGAAAAAGGGGGGAAAAAGAAAAATCGACTGCTTACTTTTAACATACTCAATTTGAGTATATTCATTATATTCAGTTTAAGCAATATAAGTTAAACCTCAATATTTATTCTTTTTTATTCCTTTACCTTCTCTCTTTCTGAGACTTTAGTTTTCCAGTGCAGCAGTTTAAACTGACCAGCCTTTCCAATAGTGACCCTATAGGGAAGGGTAGAACTGTCCCCTATGAGTTCTGAGATTAACTCTTTACAGGGGTAGAAAGTCTTGTTTTTCTCCCTCAGCGCTAGCTGGTAGTTTTGAACTGCTAACCTTGTGTTTAGCAGCCCCACTCATAACTACCATGCCAGCAGGGCTCCTTATTCTATCACAAAGGCACTTAAAAATTACAGAATTAGAAGTAGAAATGGTAAGAGAATAAAAAGAATAGAGCCTGGGCAGTTTTTCAGGATTTCCAGAATGAATGATGACAGGGTTTTATCTACTCTAGTAGCAGAGGCCACCCTAGTGACAATACTTTAAATATATATAACTGGATCATATGTGTCCCCAAAAGTAGGTTAAGGACTCTAGGTCCTACACTCTCCTGGGATGTGTTCTCTTCCGGAGTTGTATAAAACATATCACAGTATCGCAAGCTTGTCGAATTGAAGAAAAGGAAAATAAAAAGTTTCTCCAGATCTCTCAACCTACCAATAGGTTGAATAATGAAAACAAGATTAAATGAGAGGGAGGGTGTTAAACAGGTCATATATTTAGTACATCACAGTGACGGTTACAAATAAGGAGACTGTGCTTCATGTTTAGATAAATAAAAACCTATTCATAGAATTATTAGTAAAACTAATAATCTCACAGGGGCAGGTCTACAATGACATACAGGATTTCTGTTAAGTCTAAATCAGCTCCACGGCAGTGAGTTTGGTTTTTCTGCTTTTTGTGTCAGAGTTGATCAGCAAGGCTGCCACATCAGGACACACAAAGGCCAAGTAGAACAAGGCAAGTTCTACAGTAGATGACGCTCATCTATTTTCTAGGAAATGGTTAAGTAAATGAAGCTGAGCCAAAGATTTTTGGGGGGGTGGGGCTGGGGCAAGAATCTGACTCCATTTTTCTCTTTAGGAAGGAAAAACACAATATAATGCTTCTATATATAACTTCCAAACTATATTTAATGCTGACAATATCATATAAGTTTTTCTACTTCAGTCAAAATTTTTGCAATCATTTGTGAAATCTAGAATCTAAATATGATGGAATAATAATTCAAGAATTTTTAAGGTATAGTAGCTCCAGAAACATTGATTATCATAGCAATTATTCCTAGAATATATCTAGTAGCCAATTATATTATGAAAAAAAATATTAAAACATACACCGTGGCAAACAACCTTATTAAAACACAAAACAAACAATCTAGAAAGAGCAGTTTATTTGGAGAAATCAAGGGTTTTTTGACAAATGATAGAATAAAGCCCCCCCCAATGCAATACTGATTATTTCTAGTGAAATTAACATAATACTGCATATCTTAGGCTTCTTTATTTTTTTTCTTCAACTTTTATTTAAAGAGATAGGGAAAAATATACAACACACATCCAGAAGAAGAGACACCAAAGTCTTAATTCTAGTGGGATTTTAAGTAACTTTTATTTTCCTCTTTATTTCAGTATTTTACAAATTCTCAAATATATACTATATATCAACAGTCCCCCCAAAATACAACAAAATACAATGATACTTATTAACATAAATTTCCTGGTTAGTTTTTCCAAAATAAAACTTTCTCACTAATGTTGATGAAAGAAAATTCAGTCTTTTAGAAATACCCTGTTCCCCCCAAAGTGGCAACTTGAGAAATATATTGATAAGCATCTTGAATGG